AACCCTAATTTGGTTTTCATGATCTCTAAAACCCTAGAGTAAGAAATATTGCGCATGAAAGCTTCACATCTCTAAAATTCAAGCAAAATCAAAAGGGACAAAAAGGGCAATATCGGTTAGAGAATTGGGTGTGGGGTGTATCAAGACATATGATGATAACTCTAGGCAACATCTAGTATGTTTTTCCAGTTGATTTACTTGTTATTCAGTCACATTTTATATATTTTTATGAATTTTCACGAACATATTTTGACTCGAGACTATAGTGGAAGATTGATTATTGCTCATGGATTTAAGTTGACAGTAAAAATATGATCCTAGGTTGTGTTTAGAGTTTTAACTTTTTTGATTTACAACAGTGTTTAGTGCCCCATGTAAGTGGAATTCAGGTCTATTGAATAAGAGAAAAATAATTTTTTTTTTTAATTTACTACCTTGAGTTCCACATAATCACTCATTTCATGTTGATTGCCCAGATACATGTCGTTCCACTACCAGCTACTGTCTCTTTCTTGAGAACTCCCTCATTTCTTAGAAGTTCAAGAAAACAACCTATAATTTTGAAATCTTCTACAGAGTCAAAGTATCAAGCTATGTCATCTGCATGTGGAAAAAATATCTGGCTCAGGCGACTCTCTGCAGTTCTTGGAGTCACTTTAGTTTCTCCAATCCTTTTGTTTTACGACAATGAAAGCATAGTGAAAATTGTCAGCGATCCAATTTTCCACGAGATAACAAACATATTGAGATAGACAATAATTTAGTATGAGAAAAGTTTGAACAAGGAGAAATAACTCTAACCCGTGTTCCTTTCAAGGATCAGATTGCTAACATTTTCACGAAGACCTTAACTAGAGGGTATCACAATTATCTGCCAAAACAAATTGATGTTGTTAAGCCCCCATCAGTTTGAGAGGAAGTGTCATAATATACAACATAGATAACAATCAATGTATATCTTATAGTATGAATAGACCTTGTTTGTTGAATAGGATGAACCTGTTAGAAGTTCCTTCTATGTAACTCTTAACAAATTCCTTCTTCGTATGCCACAAGGTATACTTACGCATCCAAGCTCATGTACAAATATATGGAGTTTCTTCTTGTAGTATATACATGGAAAAATATTTCTCTATTTGCTGACGAATACGCCTCAATCCTAATTTCTTTGCTTAATACATTTTTTTCATTGAAAAATAAAACCTCAGCTGGAATTTACCCCTTGGTTCAACAAATGACATCTATTTATGAGTTTGAAGGTTCTTTTTGGCAATCTCAATAAACCATGTTTTCTCTTTTAAAGGATTTCTAATGTGGGTAGAGTTTTGGTGTATCTGAGTTGGATTTGGATCCAAAATTCAACATGTGCCCTAAGCATGATCAGGTAAAAATGAATTTTTAACCTTAAAACTATTTTGAACTTTGTTTTTGGACCTTTCATTTTTATTCTTCTTAGATTTGTACTATTTTTCGACCAGAGAATACATGAATGTAGTTTGCGAGAATATATTTGTAATGATTTAGAATGAGATTTTAAGTCCTAAATTTATAGAGATTCAAGATGGACTTAAGGGTCCAGGGATGCACGATGTACTTTTCCTTTAAAATTTTAAGGGAAATAAGTTTAGCAGACTCTATTAGTCAATTTCATGAAACCGAGCAACATAACCAAGCTCACCAGTTGATTCATATTTCTGTAATTTAATAGTAGTCACAGATCTGCATGGATTAAAGTGACTCCAACTTCAATCGGCAGTGTCATGTTTGACAAATTTCAAGGTCTTACTTGTTAAGAGTAGCATGATTATTAGCATACACTTACACGAAAGGAAACAACCTTTACGGTTAAAGGATCTCATCTGCACATATATACAAGAAAGTTATAACATAGACTGGATAACTCATATTGAATTTGCCCTATCCGGATAGCCAATATGGCATATTAGTCTATGAATTTTATTTTTAGCTTTCATAAATTTGATAGAGCTGAATGTTGAGAGCATGTGCACTTAAAGTGCTAAAAAAAATGGGTAAAAACTACTAAAAAGAAAGCCACAATGTCTGTGCCATCTATGGTGAATGCTAGCCATCCTATGCAGTTTAATATGGATTATCTCGTTTATACTGATACATAGCCTGGGCAGCTCATCCAATCTTTATTAACAATTATAATTAAGTTTGTCCCTCTAAGGGAGATTTCCCTATGTAGTTAATCTATTGACTCTCAATCAGTGAGGCATGCACATTTTTCTCTAATTATTGTGCTTGGATTTGTCACCTGTGCCTATATTATTTGACTCACTCAGGAACAAGAATTCAAGAGTATTTGGAGAAAAAAAACAGAAGAACAAACTCCCAATACAGGGTCTCTATGCCTTTGCAAAAGCTTTTTAAGTATCACTTTATGAAAACGACCAATAAACAAAAATAAAATTCATTTAAAAAAGTGTATCATTCATTTTGCAAAAAAAGGTTGATTGTTTGTACCATCTATATATGCTGGTCTATGGCCGGACCTTTATGGTCACACTCACAAGATAAGGGACTCTCTCATCTCTCTGAATTTCGATCTGATGCATAGGATATGGTGTCACCTCCATCCCATGCCAACCCATATGTATGGGACAATGTTCTTATAAATGAAGATCATAGGCGTCATCTTAATGGAAGGGGATTCATTCAAGGTCATGTTTCATCCCAATTGGTATGGAATTGCACCCAACTCCTCGGCATGAACCTGAATCCTTCTTACCTCACTAGCCTATTTGCTTGAGCCTTCTTACCTCACTAGCCCATTTGCTTCCTGCTTACATTCTTTCTAGGCATTGAAATATGGATGTTCCCAACAAATGAAATCCTGAATTTCATTGAATACTGGAACTAATTTCCATGGCTATCTTACTTAATTTCCTTTGCACCATTTAGTAATCAATAGTTTTAAGAGTTTTAAACTATTGTTTTCAAGAATCAATCACCATGTAAATCCAAATATATTTGCAAAAATGTGAGTCCTAAAAATCATCCTGACATGAAGTATGGGCTCCCAATAACATTTTGAAATGGATAGTCCCTTTCATAGTTATAGCCCACATGTGATTCGTAAAATTTTTTGGAATTTTGTGTACCAGACAAATTAGGATTTTGTTAGGCTACTCCCTCTCATGTAATATTCACTTGACCTATTTAACATTTATTGGATACTCATTACCCTTGTTTTATGATACAAAAATTTTTGGACATTCATTGGACATTCATTGGATTTTACCCTTGTTTTGTAATAGCTGACTTTTATCTCTACGAGAAATTTTTTCTTTACTATTGTATAATCACCTAAAAGTTTTTAAGTAAAAAAGTTACGGGAAAATGACATATACCATTCTCCCTAAATTATTATCGCAAATGACCCCTTGGTCTCATCAAAAGCCCATAGAACTCCTAAGGCAAACAAAAAAGGACGTTTGAACACCTCATCTTTTTTATTGTTCAAATTACAAAATTTATCACTTTTTTTTTCTAGTAACTTCATTATAAAAATCAAGTTTGTGATGTATTTTCTAACTTGCTCGTACTATTAATAAGGGGAGAGAGAGAGATAAGTATTCAAGGAAGGTGGCTAGTGAAAGAGAGGGATGAAAATGTCCACAGGTGAAGAAAAACAGAAAGAGGAGAAGAGATTTTTTAGGATTTAGATAAAGAAAAAGTTTATATAAAATCTGAACCTTATACTGTATAGGTAACGTGCACTTAAAAAACCTACTAGTAAAGATTGTTCGCGTACTGGAAAACCCTCAAATCGATCATCTCGATCTTGAAATTCATAGACATGAAGAAAAAAGGGATTCTAGCCGTAAAAATAGTTCATCTTCTAATACATTATCTGGATCGTCCATTTTCAATATTTCCAAGTATTTACAAATATGCTTGATCGTCAACATTTCTAGAACTTTAAATTTCATAATTGCGGGCAACAATAAATTTTCATATCATTGCAACTCTTTGTGGCACCGAAACTTCATTTTCGACATAGTTTTGAGGTGCACCTTACTCCAATTATATAAGGTTCACACCGTATACAAACCTCACCCTTTAGATAATAGGGTTATTAAGAAAAAAACAGTGATAAATTCTTTATTTAAATAATAAAAAAAGGCAAGAAGGGAGTGAAACGTCATTTTTTATTTAATGTGGGGGTTTAATGAGATATTTATAAGACCATGAGGTTATTTGGTATTAAACTTTTAGACAGTTTTTATGCCTTTTTTTTAAATTAATACATCGGTATTAAAAATCCACATAAATGGAGTAGATTAATGAAATACTATGGTAGCTTAACAAAACCCTACAAATTATACACGATTGTTATTCAAAGGTCACCAAGCGACATGTCCCTTCTTCTCGTCCCAAGTTCAAACGTGTTCCAATTTTCAAAAGTGTCCATATAGGAAAAATAGCGCCCCAAGGTCAATTTATATATGAAAAATTGTTTCGTACGGGTTGGACACTTCACTGCATATGCCGTCCAAAAGTATAAAACATCCAGGCAAGTAGATGTTCTTCAAATGTTTTTTTATTAGAACTATTATTTTTAGTTTTATAAATTTATTGATTTTTTTATATTCATGATTTCCGTGTTAGAAATTACATCTCTTTAAAAATTAAGTCCAAAAAATTAATCTCAAAATAAATTTACTAATAAGCCCGCATTTCCACTTATACGGGCATGACTGCATAGAAACCGGATCCTTGATATATTTCCCTCCCACTCAGGCGTTAATGTACCGCAGATATTATATCAAATACCAAGGGTACTTTGCTATTTTCAATTTTTAACTGGAAAAACAGGATGATTAAGGGGCTCATTTCCTACTGTTTAGCAGAAAATCTCACTCTTTTTTAAAGCTTAAACAAAGATTAGAGCAAGGATTTAAATAAATTAGGAGGAGTAAGGATTTAAATAAATTAGCGGTGTGATCAAATCGAACAAAAAAGGATGCTATCAATCAAAACAAATCTCGGAATTAAATCAAATTTATTAACTGTTCAGGTTGAGTAGAGAGAGAAAGAGGATCACTATTCATCTCTTCTCAACTCTCTTTACACAGACGAATCCTCACTCTTTCTCTCTACAGTCCAATCCTCACTCTCTATGCAACTCATACCGAGTACCTTAAAAATTAAAACCCTAATTTTTCTCCATCATTTCTCTCCCTTCTCCGCATTTCACCACCATTTTTTTCTTCCTAGATTGGAGGCATAGAATAAAACCTTCGATCTCTGTTTCCCCTACCTCGAATCTCTGCATCTCCCTTCCAGGTACCTCAAAACCCTATTTTGTCTCCCTTTTTCCTGTCTGGCCCCTCCATTTCGCTCCCATTCAGTGTGCATTTCTCCTAAATGGAGGCCAAACCCCTCTGATCTCGGGTTCTCTCATACTTGAGTCTCTGCAACTTGATTTTGAAACTACATTTGTGGACAGATTTTGGAACTACATTTGCGGACAGTTAGGGTATTTGGATGTTAGAGAGTAGATCTGCTTTGTAACAGGAGCAGCCATGGCCGATTCTTCTGGCACTTGTGAAGATGCCGAGGTCTCGGCCGAGCTCAACTGTAGCAGGCCCATGGTGCCTGAGCCTTCATCTGGCTCTTTCAAGAGTGAGGCCAAGGTTAGGAGGAGGACTTCGATTAGGCCAAGCTTGGAAGCTGATGAGTTTATTAACTTGCTTCATGGGTCCGATCCGGTAAAGGTCGAGCTTAATCGCCTTGAGAATGACGTTAGAGGTGATGGTTCTTTTGATCTGGCTGTTGATTTCCTTCGTCTATTAAATTCTTCTCTTGTTCTCTCTCTTATTTGGGACTTTATTTGATTGAAGAGTTTGGGATATGTTTGTATCCTTATTTTGTTTCTGTTTTTTCGCCTTTTTATCTTATTTCCAGACAAAGATAGGGAATTGGGGGAAGCGCAAGCAGAGATCAAGGCATTGAAGCTTTCAGAACGCCTGAGAGAAAAAGCAGTCGAAGAGGCAAGATTTCTATTTGGATTTTAACTATCGTTTGTTCTGGGCATTTGTATTTTTCGCTTTTGGGCAATATTATCTGAATTGTGTCATGTTATTTAATCGGAGGAGATGCAAATGTGAGTTGGTCATAGCTAATAGCTGAAACGTGGGTTGGTCATGTCTGATAGCTGCATTTTAAAAATGGTTATTTTCCTTGGGTGAGTTTCATTTCGTCATTTTAGATCATAATTTAAAAATGAAGATGTGTAAGTTTCAGATTTTTGTTATTTAATAATTTTCTCTCCCTGAAGTTTTCTTGGTTAATTACGTGATCTTGATTGGGGGTATCTTTCTATTAAGTTTTTCAGATCGTTGAGTTGAATTTAGCTATTTTATGTCTAGCTTCTTTCTATTAGATAATGACTGTTTTTGGTGATTGAGTTGCATTTCAGCTTACGGAGGAGTTATCAAAGGTGGACGAGAAGCTCAAGGCAACTGAAAATCTTCTTGAGAACAAGGTCTAAAAACTGAGAATTTTGATCATTTTTCTTCATAGTTCTAGTTCTCCAAAAGAACTAACGTTGTTGCTATTATTCAATGCAGTTGGGTTTTGTTTCTAGGCTGACAAAAGTTCTTTAATATATAATGCAGAATCTAGAGATTAAGAAATTAAATGATGAGAAGAAGGCCTCTATGGCCGCCCAATTTGCAGCTGAAGCAACTCTTAGAAGGGTTCATGCAGCTCAGAAAGATGATGACATGCCCCCAATTGAGGCCATTCTTGCTCCTCTTGAGGCAGAGCTCAAGCTTGCCCGGCAGGAGGTATCATATTCTTTCAGTTTACTATGTCAGCCAAAATTAACTGTGTGATAGTTATGTTGTTTCTTGATTTGTTTAGTTATTGTTCGGCCATCGTCCATATTATTGCTTTTGTTATGGTTGGTGTTTGATCTGTACCTTGGGTTCCATTGTTATAGGTGTTACTCAATTCTCTGAAGGTCATGCATTTTATTATGTTCCATTTTGTTTTGAATGTTTTTGAGTTCTTTTGCAGATTGCAAAGCTTCAAGATGACAACAAGGCATTGGACCGGCTTACCAAATCAAAGGAAGCAGCGTTGCTTGATGCCGAGAGGACTGTCCAGTTTGCTTTGGCCAAAGCTTCCATGGTGGACGATTTACAAAATAAGAATCAAGAGCTGATGAAACAAATTGAAATCTGCCAGGTATTCTTTGTATTGAGACAATTCATAGTAATTAAGTGTTTGTTTTCATGGTAACAAACTTCATAGAAGAAGATCACTATGATGATTCATGGTAAATCTTATGTTCTATAGATATAAGGAAAACCCATACATCATAATATGTTGCACAACTCCATAGAGAGATATATATATCGATTGCCCACTTATCTCAGGAAGAAAACAAGATCTTGGATAAAATGCATCGGCAGAAGGTTGCAGAGGTGGAGAAGCTGAGCCAGACAGTTCGTGAATTAGAGGAAGCTGTTCTTGCTGGTGGGGCTGCTGCAAATGCCGTTCGTGATTACCAACGAAAAGTTCAGGAGATGAATGTAATGAGCCCTTTCCAATTCATTGAGTTTATTGTTCTCAATTTATTTGTCGGATTTCGACATAATTTTGACAAGGCTATTGTATCTTTATTTTCATTAGGAAGAGAGGAAGACCCTGGATCGTGAACTGGCCCGTGCAAAGGTCACTGCCAATCGGGTTGCCGTTGTGGTTGCTAATGAATGGAAGGATGCAAATGATAAAGTTATGCCTGTTAAGCAATGGCTTGAAGATCGAAGGTTTATGCAGGTATGCGATTTCGCTAACTTTGTTTTAGTCTTCATGTTTTTTTGGGGTTTTTAATGGTGAAAAACTTATGTATTTGAAGAGGCTGACCTTATTGCGTATTCAACTCAAAAGTAATTATGGTGATTTTTGTTTATCTATTTGAAGAGGCTGAGCTTCTTGTGTATTTAATTCTAAAGAAATTATGGTGATTTTTGTTTATACAATATATGCTATTGTTTTTCCTAGTCTTTCTCGCTTTATGTGATATACCAACTGCTTTTGACTTCATCATGAATTCTATTTAAACAGGGAGAAATGCAACAACTTCGAGATAAATTGGCTATAGCAGAACGTACTGCAAGATATGAAGCCCAGTTGAAAGTGAGAAGTTAATTTGAACTACTTGGTTTATGTTAATTGACCTGTTAGTTGATCTATGTATGTAAATTGTTTTGGTGTTGGTGCTACTCAGGAGAAGTATCAGCTACGGCTGAAGGTATTGGAAGATAGTCTAAAAGCTTCCACAACTGGTAATGTTCGCCCCTCATCTGAAGGAAGAAGCACCAGTAATGGTCCTTCTCGCCGCCAGTCCCTTGGTGGATCTGAGAACTTCTCTAAAGTGGCTTCCAATGGCTTTCTGAGAAGATCCCCATCTACCCAGCTGAGGTCTTCAACATCTAGCAGCACAAGTATAGTCTTGAAGAATGCAAAAGGAACATCAAAGTCTTTCGATGGTGGTACCAGATCATTGGACAGGAGCAAGATAATCTCTAACGGGATAGCATTAAATGGTACCATCAGTAAGATAACTGATGGAACTAGAACTAATGACACCAGTAGTACTTGGAAGGAAGACTCAGGTGGCAAGCCAAATGAGCTTGCTAAGCATGACCCAGATGATACTGTATCGGGGTTGTTGTATGACATGCTGCAAAAAGAGGTCATTGCTTTAAGAAAAGCTAGTCATGAAAAGGACCAAAGCCTGAAAGATAAGGATGATGCAATTGAGGTTAGTTTTAATTTGCTTGTTAACTTTTTCTTGTTTTCATGATCTAATTGTTTTTGCTATTGGTTCTGGTTTAGATGTTAGCGAAAAAAGTTGATACGCTGTCCAAAGCAATGGAGGTTGAGGCAAAGAAAATGCGAAGAGAAGTAGCCGCCATGGAGAAGGAGGTAGCTGCTATGCGAATAGAGAAAGAGCATGATCAAAGAGCAAAGCGACTTGGTAGTTTCAAGGGTTCTGTAAATAGTTCACAGTTGCTTCCTGGAAGGTATGTTTTGACATCTTTATGTTACATTTTTCTGCTGAATAATTTATGAATGAATACTAATAATGTTATAATGTATACTCTTTTTGTAAGTATTGTCATATCTTACCTTTAATGTTTGTGGTCTATGACATAGAGTTTACATATTCTTTTTGGATTCTTTATGGCTCCCATATCCCAAAGAATACTTGCTTGTAGTTGAGAGCATTTTGTGAGGGGGTGAAGAAGCAGTTGAAGCAAGTGCAAAAGACCATTTTCATGGGCCCCAATTTTTTTTTTTTGAAAAGTTAATGTATATCTCCATTTTATGTTGAAACTCTATCCATTTAAACAAGTTTCTTCTGTGATTTTTTTATGTTTCTGACAAATGGCAATGTTGTTACACCATTGAGATTATATTTTAAAAACTGTGTTTGTTGTTTGCATTTCATGAAGCTGTTAGTGCTTTCAGTTATTTGGCCTGCCATGTAATTGTACATCCCACCTGTAATTGAGTTCAAGAAGTTATATTCTAGAAACTTTCTTTTTTTGTTTTGTTTTTGTTTTTCGATGCATTTTATCTTTGTAGTGAAATGAATAACTTTGTACTCCACGGGCATTTATGTGGTCCCATGTATGCTTGTTGATGTATCTCATTCTTGGAAAATGCTGTATATCATTCTTGTAGTTTTAGCAGGTTGCAGATATGTTATTTATTGCTGTTTCTAGCATCACGGATTGTCTTCATGTCTTGGAAGTTGGAGGTTTCTTGTCTTATTATGGAGTGTATAACTGAAAGGGTGCATAATCTCTTATTTACAAAGTACATATACACAAGAAGGCCCCATTTCAATAGACCAGATATTAGAACTGAAAAATGGCCCAGATTGGTCTGCTCGACTATTCATGGGAAAACATGCCACCAAATTGCCCGCAGCTCTAAGAAAAGAGGACCCTTCTTTCTTGTTTTTCAATTTTTTCTAAATAACCGGATCCCTTATTGGAGTTGTTGTACTGCCCAAACAAGGACTCAAAAAATAAAGGGGAAACTGGGAGTGATGTTGAATGATACACAACCCTTTCTTTGGGATGCTCAAGGAATACTGGCTTCCAGCTCTTATATGCATATTTTTTTGTGTTGGAAACACGAGCAGAGCTTGACATTCTCTGTGGTGGTGTTTGGCGAAGTTAAGTCTTAATTGTATATTAATTCCCCATTCTCGGTGTATAGTGAAGATTAGCCTTCATGATATATTCAGTTGTGTTGTTGGTGCTGTCAGATTAATGTTCTTATGAGATATCAATCCCCATCTATACAAAGGAAACAAGGTTAATGTTCTTCATGATATATCGGTTCCTTCATTTTGATACATTCTGCACAATAAATGAGAAGAAATCTATGAGAATCATCAAGGGAAAAGGCTGGAATGGGTAGCGATTATCAGGATAATGGACCTTGATGGGTGTGAGTGATGTCCAGTTTTGAAAGGGTTTGGTGATGAGGGTAGCTGCAGATTCCCGTCATAGAATGTGAGGGTTTTTGACTGGGGGATAGGATTAAGCATTGTGGATGATTTTGTTGATTGCTTAATTGATTGTGTATCATTGTTGAAAAAGCGGACCGCCCAGCGCTTAGGCAGTCCAGAAGGCCTAGGCGCATCGCCCAGGCCTAGGCGGCCAAACTGGGCGGTGGTCCTTGGGTGATCGTCTAGGCGATACGGAACCCACCTAGGCGGCCGCCCAATGCCCAGCCTTGGGCGGCCGCTCAGAGCTTGCGCCCCACCCAGAGGCGGAAAAGTATTTTTTTTTTTTCGTTTTTTTCAAGATATAAAAGTTTAGAAAGATGGGTTTTAGGTTCATTGGAAACCTAAACCCCCAAAAAACCCTTTTAGAGAGAAAGAAACCTCCAAAACACTACATTTCATTGGATCAAATCATCGAAGTGTTTATCAAAGTTTGGAGTTCGAGCAACCAAAGTACGTGCAACTTTTAGATTGCTTGTTTTATTTTGAGATGTCTTCTTCAGGAGTTAGTCGGAGTGGAGATCCGGGTTTGAAATATGGATACAGCCCGAATCTAAATGACAAAAATTGTGTTAGATGCAATTTTTGTGAAAAAAGATACAAAACGAGGCATAAACCGGTTTAAGAAACATCTTATCGGTATTAAGGGGGATGTTGCCCCTTGTAAAAATATTCCTGAAGCTATCAGAGAGGAGATTAAGCAATTTATAAGTTATGTAAAATAAAAACAAGAACAAAATCCTTGTCATAGATCTATTTCTGCTACTCCTAGAAAAAGTGATCCGGGTTGGAAGTATGGGTACTACCCAAAACCAAATGATAAAAATTGTATAAGGTGTAATTTTTGTGAAAAAGATACCAATGGGGGTATTAGCCGATTCAAAAAACACCTTGCTGGTGTTAGAGGTAATGTTGCTTTTTGTACAAAGGTTCCTAAAGCAGTTCGGAATGAGATTAGACATTTTCTGAATTTTGAAGAACCAGAAAAGGATGAAAATAAGCCTTATTCTATGGAAGTATCTTCTCTAGGTTCTAGACAGAGTGGTGATCCGAGTTGGAAGTATGGTTATATCCCGAATCCAAGTGATAAAAATCGTATTAAATGTAATTATTGTGGAAAGGATACTAATGGGGCATTTCCGATTTAAAAAACACCTTGCCGGTATTAAGGGGGATGTTGCCCTTTGTAAAAATGTTCCTGAGGCTATCGATGAGGAAATTATACAATATTTGAGTTCAGAAAAGCACAAAGAAAAGGGTAGAGCAGCCAAGTCTCCTAGGGCCTCATCTGCACAGACTAGTAAGAAGATAGAAGAAGAGGGGGAAGAGGCAGATTCAGAAAAAACAGAAGAGGACGAACGTTATATTGAAAAGAGAGATGACTCTGATGATGATGGCCTCGACTCTGATGCATATGATGAGGCTTGCCCTATTGATATTCCTTCTGATGATGATGATGATGATGACAACGACGACTGAAGACTCTTGTCTCTTGGTGCTGAGTGTTGAGTCTGTTGGCTGTTGTGTTGAGGCATGAGTGTTGACTTTTGTTATAATGTATATTTTCTAAATTTCTGTTGTGTCAAGTGTTGACTTTTATATCCTACCTACACTCGTATGGTTTTACACTATTTTAACAATATGGAGTATCAAAATTCTCTTCTCAACGTCAATCTTTTTTTTTTTTAACGTGGAATATGGTTTTACATTGGTAATAATTTGGTATGGTTTTTACTTTTTTTCAAATTTCAACTGAGAGCCGCCCAGGTTCTAGGCCCCCGTCTAGGCGCTGGGCGGCATGGACCCCCAAGGCTGCCTAGGACCCGCCTAGCATTTTTTGATACACTGTTGTGCATTGCCTAGCTTCATTGATCGTGGAGAGATTATTGTTGTGTTGTTGGGTTTGGAGGCGATTATTGGGGTGGAAGAAAGTGAATGGTGTTCCTTTCACCACGTTGTGAGGTGGCAGCACTTTGGAAGGCAGTTTAAATCCGAGAGTTGCCTCTTGAGGCCCTCTTTTGAGGTTGATAATGATTTTCTGTACAGAGTGGCTAAAATATCTGGAGGGTTGTGATTGGAACACTTTAATTTCTGAAAGGAGGGCTTTTATGTGTTTTTGCTCCCCAGTCTGTACACCCATCCTGAGATATAAATCAACCCAGATTTTGATTAGAAATAAGCTTTTCTAGAACGTGTGTTGATTGGTTGGAATTCTTTGTTTGCCAATAGAGGGAAACTGAGAATATTCTAATTTATAAAGTTGATGCTGTTTTCTTGATTAGATTCAGATACGTAGATTGGCTTCAATTCAAATCAGCAAAATCATGTGATCTAATTTGGCTTTGACTTCTGAGAATTACTAGTACACCAGATAGGTTCTAGATGCCTTCTTTGGATGTTGAGGAAGATTTATAGATGGTGCATTTCATGTGTTGGAAAGTGGTTTGCTCCCCCAAAACATGAGGGCCTCATTTTTATTTTTGGGGAGGGGTGGGGGTGCTGATGTGTGGCTGATGTATCCGGTTATCTTGTTGTTAAGTGTTTTTCCTATTTATTTTGTTAACATTTTTTTTGATAAATGCATGCTCTTGGTGTCATTGTTCATGTTGCGGGGTAATCTCTGTTAATTACTTGACTGTAGGAGATGAGTTATCTATACATTCATAGCGAGGCAGGTCTTTTGGCAAGATTGTGTGGTATATCGATATGGGAAGTTGGCAAAACAAAGTCAAGTAATCACATAACGACAAGTGAGCAAACACAAATTCATCAAGTTTATTGAAGTATGTGAATGTATCTTGTCACTTTTCTCTATGTAGATACCTTCGTTTAGTTTCATGCCTTAGTTAAAAAAGTTGGCTGCCTGGCCGCCAGGCTCTCAAAACGCCTAGGGCATACGCCCAGCCGCCAGGCTCTCAAAACGCCTAGGGCATATGCCCTAGGCGATCTAGCTCCTAGGTTCCAGGCTAGGTGCCCAAGGCGTCACCGGGGTGGTCCCCTCAAGGCAGCCACCTAGCCGACGCTTCGATGCCCTTCGCCGAGAGCGGAAAAAGGCCCTCGGCCAAGGGCAAAAAAGTATTTCCCCCCTAAAAAGGGGTGAAAGGGTTTTGGGCGGCATTCTAGCCCCAAACCCTGATGCACCTAGTGTGGCCTAAAAAATGGGAAAAAAAGAGAGCATAAGCCCTCTTAAAAAATAAAAAAATAGCTATCACCTATAAAAACGGTTAAGGGCTTAAGGCCTTTTCTCTCACTCACAAGGCCCATATGCTCTTGCTCTCTACGTATGAGTAGTAGAAGAAAATGAAGATGGCCTCCAATTGTTCGCTGCAAGGACTCATGGACCCATATGCTCTTGTTCTACATATAAGAAGAAAAATAATATGATGACCTTCAAGTGGTTCGATGTGAACCCCCCCGGCCATAGACTCATATCCTATCTCTTTCTACATGTAAAAAGAAGAAACATGTCCTCCAAGTGTTTGATGCAAGACATTTCTCTCA